GTCGTACGTCGGGGTGGCGCGCTTCAGCGGTATGAACTAATGTAGCCAACAATTGTCCTACGAAAATGGGGGCACGGAGTTGGGTACCGGTATTGGCAGCTCGTGTCGGCGAGAGATACGATTGATCTTTCTGTGACTTTGCCGTTACCGTATTCAGTGAGGTGTGTGCTTGCGACACATCCTGAACCATTCATTCGCGTGAACAGGCATGGTGAACCAGCATCATCAACAGCTGCAACAGCAGCACAAGCCGCAGGAATCGAGCAATCAACCTTCTAAAGCTATCACTACTGCAGATGACCCCCGGCAACCGTTCGTTGGAGTGTTCGGCTTGATGGGGTCGATGGTACTTCTACTCGTTGCAATATACACAGACTTCCGCAACATGTCCCAGGTAAGCGCAAAAGTAAGCGCTGCATAGATTCATGTATAGTCTTTAGGTCTTGCCGGGAGTTGGCCGCTCGTTTCCAGGTAGTACATATATTGACGATTGTCCGAACACGCACAAGGCTTACTCGAATGAGATTCTCGTCTTCTCGCCACGCTTACAGCGGGCATTTGAGAACCGACATAAGGGGAAAAGGGACTACACTGTCACCGAACTACTGTAGATTTCAGCCCAAGATCTTCTGGAGTTTAACCAACGGTTGTTCCAGGATATTCTACACGTCATCGATGCAAGCACCGGAAGCACAAAATTAAACCACGCCCGTTGAAACTACACCGGAAGAATCGCACTTCAATTGGTGCACGACTAACTTGAAGACGATGACCCTACAGGTGACCACTTGAGTATCCGCCAGTCTACCTGGCGATACCCGACACTGCTTTTTTGACCGCCTGCTCTTGATCCAACTCCAATAACCCCGTCTGGTCATGTTTTCCGTCGCCCTCTAGCGTTGTCTCGGGTATGACTTGCCGCGGCCGTGCGTATCCCTCCTGTGCAACACTTTTAGCACCCCTTGTAGACCCTACATCCCCGATAAATAGGGTTGCTGCCGATAAGAAGGCTGCTGTGGCTCTCACCTGTCGACGATGCAGTATATCGTGTTCCGTCGACGGCAGTACGCCCGATGACAATATTGGCGGAATAATCGGCGACATTACACTTGACTTGTTGCGCCTAACAACTAAATGATGGAGCTTCCTCTATACCTCGCACTACCGCTACCCCGCTTGAGGCAAAGTGCCTTTTAGTACACTCCGAACGAGGCCGTCCGATAATCGAGTCCCCTCTGTGCCATCGTTGAGATTCCTCGAAGGGGGGGTTGACGGTCGACGACAAACCGACGACAAGAACTCGTGTTCTAGCACGTGTCGAAAGGAAGTGCTTGTAATTTTCGAACGACGACGCACCTCTGGCTTTGGATGTATCAACGACCTGTTGGTAAATAGTCTACAATAGTAGCACCAACTTTTTTATGTCCTCAATTTATTGTATATTCGAGCTGCGGATACCAGTCTCAACGGCAGTCATACTAGTTTCAAACAATACGCGGAAGCAGAACGCGGTATTACCGTAATCACGTTAGTTCTACCGTATCCACCTACTACCCATCCTGATCGTTCCAGCAGGCTGTGGATACCACTCGTCGGTGAAGCAATAGACAATAAAAGCTACACATAAAGCGAAGCTGTTTCTAGGGGACGATTTTGGTTATCCTGTCGGTGTTGAAGAGCAACTACTGCATGTGCCAATGACAACATGTTTCAAAACTGGACATCCCGCTTCTTTCAGCGGGATTGTGCCCATCACGGAATTTACCAGGAGTAACAATTGATGCGCTGGCGTTCGTTGAACCTTCGGTTGTCATGAGCACTGTCTCGTGCTCTTGTACGTTCAGAGGTCGTGGACAACGTGGCCCGCCCGCACGATTCCGACGGGCAGCCTCACCGGAGATCATGGGAAACGACGGAACCCTGGTCAGCCTCCAGGGAACACCACTAATACTGAAGTTATAGACACGCTTGAAACTGGTCCATGTGTTTCGGGGACAGCACAACCTGAGCTACGCCGTAGGCAACAAGCCGGGATACACTTATCCCTCGCTCTTCCACCGCTTCGCGGACGATGTCCGTCGTGCAACAGGCACATGCGCCCGGCAGCAAGATCTAGCAGCATTACATGTGTCCCATTGCGTGGACAGACAGCCGTTTACAAACAAAATCTCCCCATCTTGCACCGCCGGCTCCTTGCTCGACTACCCCAGATATGGCAGAACCACGCTAACCTAGACGAAAGGCTTCGGCAAATGGCATTGCCACCAGAGGCAGGACTGACAACATTCGGCTTCTACAACACTATGGTGAGCGCAGTAAGTTGATGGTGCCGCAGAACTTTGATAACTTAGCTTTTATGCGGGGCAACAACGATACACGTACTGTTGATGAAATAGTCCACACTCACGAGCACATCGTAACGGGGGGAGGGGGGGTACTCGTGATTCTTGAAGCAAGCAAATTTTGCAACAATGTTAAAGGTTTGCCCCGCTGGGGATATTGGATGCATCATGCTCGCGATCCGAAAACAGTAGCCGCCTCTTGGCCGCGTACAGCGAAGGGGCAATACAGTAGCATGGTATTAACCAAATTTGATAGTCGGTACATTTCAAAACCAAGGTGGCGATCAGCGCACCCCGGATCTTTAGTAGTTGCTGGGTATTGGAGTATGTTTATGTCAGCTTCGGTGGTTTCTGCGTTCGCCTAGACTAACCCGTCACCACCAGCTTTGACTCGCTTTCTACCGTTGTGCGGAGGTATGCACTTGTCTTCGCCTTTCACCAACAGAATGATGGGGGGGCATTCACGAAAAAACGGCGGCTACGGCCCGGTGATGGTTCCAGCGGCAACTCCCGCGAGTCACTTAAAGGCTCTGTACTATATGTGATGTTTTCTCGTTACCGCAAGAAGCTATGTATGACAAACCAAATTTTCAGAGAAAACGAAGAAAATATGTCCGGGCGACGTGTACGCGTGACGCCCGCAAAAAAATGGCCTTTATTATTTGTTGCTGCACTACCCCACCTAAAGAGATGCCGACTGAGCTTGCCGACCATGTTTCTGTCCGACCATCCTAGCCCCATATTCGGCCCCGGCCCCAAGGAGATTACAAACGAGTACACACACATTTCGCTTGACCGCTTTCCGAAAGCAATGGTCACGATTTGGAGATGAGGCCGCACGCCCGGTCAGATGGCGATCAGAAAGTACACTGATTGATGCAAGTTTGGGCGCCCCCAACCGCGACAGTTGACCCCGTCGAAAGATAAAAAGTCACCTACGGCAAGTTAAATAGTAGGGAAGAACTTTCTGAGAAGGAGAAGAGCCCGTGCATCGACCTCTTATCGGAGCGTTATTCGGTGGTATACACTACAATACCACAAGTGCCAATGTGAAGCCGTTGCAAACCAACCGAATCGGCAACAAACGCTGCCATGTCGCTATACGTGCAACTGCTGACGCGCCCATGCGCCCGTGCCAATGCCACCCTCTGCCATTCTTCACCAGATTCTCACGAAGCTAATGGTATTGGCCCGACTACTGTTCTGTGTAGGGGTGGCGTGGACAATGGTGAGTGGCAATAGTGCATCGATAGCGATGCTTTGCGTAGATACCTCGGGTCAGTTAAGGCCAAGATGTTCAGCTTCAGCAAGCTTTAGAACCATTCTGATGGGGGAAACAATCTCACTCAAGAGCACTCGCACCCGGTACCTGACTCAGGCTTTGTAGATACGTCAATGACGGTCCGAGCACGATTTCGTAGCGCACCCGTGCAGGGCTATCGGAAGGACGTTTTTTGCGATGAAGGAGGAGGGTACTGCAGTAACGTTGAGTTGTCCACCGTGATTCCGACCCACACATGTGGTTGGAAAAGCTCTCTAGAAGCATGACTTACCATGGGATCCTAGTCTGTGGGACATGCGGCCAACGACAGCGCACCCACGCCGTCCGTCGCCTACTTCCTGCCAGTGGAGGAGGCTAGTTGCTGAAAGAGCGCTAGCGGGTTCAAGGGCAGACGCAGCAGCTGCAAGGAAAGATGCCACAGCTGCAAGAGAACGTGCTGAGGAAGAAAGGAGGGAGTCTGCGACTAGGATAAAAGACATTGGGGTTGAGCTTGCCACTTCGAGGAAAGAGACCGTGACCGCTACAAAAAACGGGGCGACGGACAAGGAACGATTGGTGAGGTGACCCTGCGCCCTTGATGAAGCTATATAGTTTTGCTTAATGTGGATTTGGTCCTATTTTACAAGGTGGGCGATGTTCTCATATACATAGCAACCTGGCCAAACTACGTCCTCACCGATGCACGATCTAGACTCAATTTGAGGGGCGACGGTCTTGGAAGCGAGTATATTTGTGTGGGCCCAAAATCCACACCCTTTGTGAGTCGTCGTTATATCGCCACAATGAACGGGCGTCTTCGAGCGGGGCTCTTGCAGGCATTCCGTGGGTTGGTTGATAGTCGACAATAACACTTTCACGATCGCTCGACAGGAAAAAATGCTGCCGAAAAGTGTGCCCCTGTGATCAGATGCAGTTGTTGGGACTATGCGTCGTCATGTGGTAATATGGTTATGTTCCGTGGTTCCTCCTGAAGAAAGAGGGCCCGTGCTAGCGTACTGGTGTTGTCGACGTAGGTCTACGTTCCTGAATCGCTACCGGCCCAGCCCAGCTGGGCCTTTTTTGTGCAAAAGAGGAGCAGGCAGAGCTTCCATTTCGTGCCGAGCACTCGGTTCGTCGTAATGCTTTCCGCCCAATTGTCGAACAGCATGCCCCCGGTTCGTTCGTTTCGATGTTGGTGTCAGTGCCCCGGGTCCACAATCTCCGTCGAGAACATGTCCCCCCCCGTTTTTTCGGCGAAACCCCCCTTTCCTTTATGCACTCCCTCCCTAATCTGCTCTCGTGTTTCTCATTCGGCAAAACTCGCTGCCTCGAAAACGCAAGTGGCGGAGCTGATTGCTGAACTCGCCCCTTTCAAAGCCAAGGAAGCCGCCGAGAGAATGGCGGAAGCACAGAAAGCGGTGAGTGAATCTCGCTCCCCCGAACCTTCGCTGAACGGCCGCTTTCACTCGAATGTCAACCCCACGCGTACGTCGGCCACGATCCAATCTGCACCACCGCACTCAACCGCCTCCCAAAGAACGTTGCACATTTGCACACAGTTCAGATATCGGTGGCTAAAATAATTTCTCGCTGGGTAGCATTGGTGGTTGGGGGCATGGTATGGACCACCGCGTGACCTTGTTCCTGCCATGCGTCTCTTTGAGACAGTTTTACCGGCCTGCTTGATGCTGCCCTCTTACAGACGCCCATACATGCCGTGTTGTGCTGCTGCCTTCACGCGTACAATGGATCATGCTGAAGGCGGAGGCGGACGAGGCGAGTGCACGGATAGAGGAGGCCGCGGCAGAAAAACAAGCAGTTCTACTTGCATCCGGGTAGGACGTTGCAGCAGCATCCTCATTTTCGATTGTCACCGTTTACTCAAGTTAACTTTGCGAAACAGGGGCGCCCCTTGTCGCGAGTCCTTCCCTGTCACCCGTTTTGCGGTGTTGTCGACAGCTCTTCGCAGGATGAATAATCTCTCGGTCGTATGACAGATGACGTGAATTCAGTACCAATAGCTCGGTTGCAGGGTTGTTTAGCTGAGAGAGGGTATGCTTGCAGATTTTCCTTCATAGTAGTGGTTGGGTGTTCCGCGTGTCAACTTGGAACTACAGCGCCCACGACCAATGTTCACCGCCTCTCTTCGGAACGCAGATGTCCATACCGGTATGTCCGCGTGGGAGATGAGCAGTTATGCGAGGAAACAGCCAAGGGAGGACATCTTGGAGTCCTTCAATGGGCAAGGAACAACGGATGCCCCTGGGACAAGGAGACGTGCTCCAAAGCGGCGCAGAACGGACATCTTGAGGTGCTGCAATGGGCAAGGAACAACGGATGCCCCTGGGACAAGGAGACGTGCTCCAAAGCGGCTTTGGGCGGACAT